GAATAACTCTACTTGACTGTTTAAATTGTAAGTATAAATACCTGGCTCTGCAACTGTATATATATTCATGCAGGTAATTCTAATTAGCTATCATGCTATTACAAGCATTTGACATATAATTACTTGAAAAATGAAAACATGATAATAAATGCTTATTAGATTAAATAGTGTTTAATCAGATAAAGTCATGTTCATAATTAATTGTTTAAATTGATAGGTTTCTACCAATTATAAATCATCTTTATAAAGGATGTGATAGTGATGGTAAAATTGAAATGAATTCCTACCATATAAAGAATGATGTAAAGAGACTTATGAATTATGATAATTAAGTTGCAAAACGTGGTAAATAATTGGAGTAAAATTAACAAGCATGTTAACAAATAATCAAATATTTAATGGCCCAACTATTAAAGTTAGAAGAATTAAGTGGAGAACTTAAAATGGGTTAATTATAATTGATACAACATAATTGTTATGTAAATGACAACCTTGATTTTGATATATATATGTATATGTAATATACTCAGTATAATAAAGTTTTTAGATTATCGATGTAATATAATATGTTATAATAAATTATTTATCATTTATAGTTTAAATTATGATTAACATAATCAAACAGAGTTGTTATTATTTTGTAAGCGACTTAATTGTGCAAATCATTTTTATACCGTGCATACAACTTAATCTCTAATTCTAATATCCATAAAAAAACAAAAAAAAGACACTGTCATTATATTCTCTTTTTTAACAAAAACAAACACAAGAATTATTGAAATAAATAATTAATCAAGGAAAAGTTTCATCAAAATGTCTTTTCATAATATTAAATGTTTTTGAATGATTCATTTTTCGTCATTATAATCATAGCTTAACCACACAAACAGTACGAAGGTTACGTTGCATTAATTAAAAAATAATAATAATTGTATAGTAGCCGTTTTGTGTGGTTATTATGAAAGAGACATAAAATAATTATTAAAAAAAGAAAAATTATAATTATAATGAATATAAATCATCTTGTTTGTCTTTAAATCTTTTAGATTTTGTACCTCTAGGCGCTCAAGTACCCTACCATTAGATCTCCTCTAAAAAGATTATTAATAGAAAATTAAAAGAACACTCCTGAAAGAGGTGACTATTATAAGTACGAGTTCGATAAAACTCAATAATTTTGATTTAAATTTTATATTTATATAAAAAAAATTAATATACAGAAAATAATTTAACAACGAACTCAATAAGTAAAAAAGAATTGTATCTAGATTCATAAGCTAAAAATCTTGATTTTACCTATTTGTATTAGAGACAAGAAAACTTTAAATTAAATTAGGGATCTTTACACAAATAGCTAGTTGAATTCATTTTTTTAGTCAGTATCTATAAAATTTACATGAGTTTCAAACCTATCCGACTAATAAAAAGAACCGAGTTGAAAGTCATTTGACCATATGAAAAGAAGAAAGTCAAAACTTATTCCTAACAAATCGCTAGATTGAAGCAGTAAGTCAGCAACATGAGGAGGTTCAATTCTCGTTATGTGCAATATGACGGAAAAGATCGATTCAACGAGATATGTCTTTAGCTATATTATGATTTTTTTAATTTGAATAGTTGGGTGGATAATAATTCTAATTAATAAATAAACAAACATTTTTCCTAACAAATTACGCATGGAGAAACTAGAACAAAAAAGCATCCACTTTGTGCTTTAAAAGTGATAATATAATAAAAGAAAAAGATGCAAAGGGGACATAAGGATTACGCGGGAAAAAAAAAGTAGAAAAAAGATACTAATATCTCTTATTTAGTGGTCCAAAATAATGATACCTTTAATTAAGAAAAAATAAAGGATGGAATTTAATTTCATTGAGTTGACAATATTTTTAATGAAATATATATATATAACAAATCATTTTCTTCGAATACTCCTCTTTTGAATTGTTGATATATCAAAACTAAAAAGTTATTTTACCATACAAAAATAACGATAAAATCTATATATTATAACTCTTTTCAAATTATTTTTATAAAATTACACATATTATTATTATTTTATAACAATAATAACATATGAAAATGTGATTAAGATTTGGCCCACTAATATAAGCAACAAAAATTAGGCTAACTACCATTTTCGATGCTCTTGTCTTTTTTCTTTTTTTGTTAAATGTTATTATCATAGTTAATAAGATAGTGAAATGATGATATAAAGATGTTGGAATTGCAATAATATGGTGATGTAATGGAATTCCAATTACATGATGTTGTCGAGGAGAATACCATACGTATGAATTTTCGAGAATTCAGTAATTTTTATCCGAATTAGTAAAAATCTATCAAATATTTAACTGTATGTTAAGATATTATTATATATACATATTCGTTATAGAAATTCATAAATTTTAAATTCTTGATTAAAAAGTACTAGAAAACTCTGGTTAGCACAAAAGATAGACTATAACTCTAGTTCGTATCAAAACAAGAAGCTATCTCAAATTTAAATTTACTATTCATCGATATAATTTATAAGCCACGATTTAAAAATCTTGAATCCGTCGATTAAAATACAAATAACAAAAAAGGAACAACATTGAGTGAGATGTTTGAAGAGGGAAATGAAAATCAAAGCATAGAGCCCCACAAAAAAAAGTGTAAAAAATAACACAATCTCCCAAACTTCTTCTTTGTTCACTTTTCCCATGCAGAGATTTCTAAGTGCGACCGTTGAAAAGCCAAAAGAAAAAAAAAAGGAAAAAAAAGTGAGGTCTTACACAGCGTGAATTTAAATTAGTCAAATTATATGAATATAAGATATCAGATTTTTAAAAATGTTTATATACATCAACTAGTATAAGTATTGTAATAAAGTATTTATAGTAATTATTATTTCGTAAGAAACGTGTAAAATTCAAAATGAACAAATAAAAGTAAATAGGCGGAATATATGAGAAAAGTTGGGGATAGATTATGTATTTTATTTTTTATTATGGGGTGGAAAATGAAAATTGCAAAAAGTTAAGGAGACAAGAGAATCTAAGGGGATATTGTATAGATAGATACATTTAACGTCCCTACTCCCTGCTAAACTAAAAATTGACATTTGGGCCCTTCATCTTTTTGTAACTACTTGCTCATCCCCCAAATATATATTTATTTATTTATTAACAGTTTGGCGTTTTTCATCCTTTTACAGAGACTACACTTAACTACTTTCGTTTTAATTTCATGTCGAGTTAAATTAAGATAAATAAATTGAAATAGAAAAAGTATAAATTTGCATCAAAAGAAAATTATGGATAATTGTACAATAAAGTTCTCAGCTTGCGCAAATTTACTTTGTTACACATATTTTTGAGCTTCATAATAGGGTAGTCCGAAAATAAAAATGTCAAGATTGACAGTCAGACAAGAATTCTGCCATGTTCCTTATCTACCTAAGACTTTTGAATCTCAAGATTTTATTCGTTTTTATATATGATCTTTTTGTGAGATATGCCTTAGTATATAGGAAAAAGGACATATATACCTCCGAACTATCGTAAATAGTATACAGATATCCGTCGTTATACTTTTGGGACATTGGTGCCTCTGTCGTCCAAAATCTAGAGCATATATATCCTTTATACTAACAGAAATACACGTGTCATAATCTTATCCACCGATCAACATTTATTAAATATTGGATCGACGGATAAGATTGTGTCACATGTCCCTATTTAGTCTTCCGTTAGAGTGAAGGGTATATATGCTCTAGTTTTTGGATGACAGAGACACCAACGTCCCAAAAGTATGACAGAGGATATCTGCATATCATTTACGATAATTTGAGGGTATATTTATCCTTTTTCCCTAGTATATACTTCCTAGTTCAAACCCTACCAAGGGATAGTGGGTTGCTACCCTCAATATACTTAAAGGATTCAACGAACTCGTTGAAATGATATTGAATCTACACTGTATAATTATACGAAAAAGACATTATACAAAAGCGTAGGTGAATATAAACATAAAAAACACGTTTGAACAACAACAACAACAACATTTGTAGCCTTAGGTGTAACCGAACTCTCAATTATAATGTACTTGGAACTAACACAAACCAAAAATTTACCATCATATAGTTATGTGAGTGGGTCCCAATGGACAACTTCATCTCATGTACCTATCATAATCAACGGTGATTAACATTGCGAGATCACGGGACACGTGTGGCAACATGTGATCTCTCGTGCATGTTCTTATCCTGGACCCCACCATGTGGCAGGCCCACATCAATAGCACGTGTTTTTGTCCAGCCTGATCTAATCAGGAGTCGAAACGTGTCAAAACATGAAAGCTCCCTCCTAATGAAATTAAGCTAATTAATTTGGGAAATAAGACCCAAAAAAAACTGAGATATTTAATTATAGAGTAAATTATCGAAGGTTATACTGAAATGAATAAAACCCCTTTATATTTAAGAGGATTAATCACCATTTTAGGCTCGAGTCCTTTAAATAAATAAATAAAAATTGATAGAAAATGTTTGAATTAATCGAGACTCCAAAGTGAATATTGAACTGCGCAAAGAGGGTCTAGAAACATCTTGCTAAGTGTTTAATCTGTCATTGATGTATACATATCATGTGACAAACAGTTGATAGAAAAATCACTTTTATGATTGTTTTAGTCCCATGATATTATTTAATTTTTCTCCTATAAATTATGACAACTCTTACAAAAAACTTCAATAATGCTTATTGAAACCATATAACTATCATAAATAACATGTGACAATCCACCTGTTTCTCTAGTGATTGTATTTATGTTTACGTCTTTAACTTGAAATCTTGAATCCGCCTCTTTATAATAACGTACCCAGTGTATTCTCATAAGTGGGGTCTACGGAAAATAAGGTACGCAGACCTTACCTTTACCTCAGAGGGGCAGCTTCCGATAAACCCTCAACTCAAGAAAACGTTTTATGAAGAAAAAAAAGTACAAGAATCTGCCTCTTTGACATTACATAATCATACACTTGGATATTATACTGATGCTTTGGACTTTATAGGCCCATAAAAGCAAGAATACTGAGCAAGTAAGAAGGAAAAAAAGCAAAAAGAAACTCAAGCTAAAGGGTATTTCTCATCAAGCCCATAAAATGGGACTTCCCTCTTTCAAAGATACTGAAGCGGAAGAGTCCGAGGGGACAACCCGAGATGGCAAGAGGTAACAATTTGAATCGTAATGCCACGAGTCACAACTACTGTGCAATTAAGTCATTTCTATTCTCTATACTTGCCAAGTGGAAGGGAAAAAAGGTTGATGCAAAGAAAGCATTTCACGGACACTCATCAAGATTAATCTTTCCAGCCTTCCTTACTAGACCGTCGTGAGGAGATGATTTTAGAAGAGAGCGAAGGAGTGACTGGCAAGGATGGTGCTTTGGGTGCCTCCTCGTCGTCCCAATTGTCATCCCAGTTATTGTCCCATCCATCAGTTGAGAGCGTTTCTACCTTTCCGCCACTGGAAACTGGTAAAGCATTGTCCAGTTTTTGATACGTGTGGCCATTGCTTACTAGAAGCCTCCGCTTGATGTACAACAAGATTGTAGCTACTAATGCAATTGCAACCAAACACATTATTCCAAAGGATGGGAGAACATAATTGAACTGAGATGTTTTATCAGTGTTGTCAATCAGACCCCTGAAATCAAGTGAACATTGACCGTCTCCTGCCTTCAGAATGATGATGTTGTCATTTCCTCCATTCCCTATAGAAACCTTCATCTGCATCAGGAGCAAGCATCACAACTTCGTGTTAAAAATAGTAAAACACTTGCAAAATTAAGACTTAGAAATATTAATCTTTGCCAGATCACTTCAGAAATCACCATTTACTAGCTTTCAAACAGTTATTTTTAAGCGATGAATCCTCTTGATGAGAAAATTACATAGTTTAAAATTCCCAAGTTCTTATCAGGCATCAACAAAAGGTGGTCGACTCTCAAATAAACGGGATATATCCATGTGACATTGGTATGTGACCAAATACTCATGAACTGTCTATAATGCTACCTTATTTAGACAACTTTGAAAGGAATGCAAAACAGAAAAATTGGTCAAGGAATGTTTCATCTGATAGTAATTAAGGAGATCCCTCCAGCAGATGAATAATACACAGATTTAGTCACTCTTCTCCATTGTTCAGATCAGCGGACCAGTCTGCATATTTTATGCCCTTTAAGAACCTCAGAATAAAATGGCATCAAACCATATGTCTGAGCAGCAGCAGTGTTGCGCAGATATCAACAAGCTTGACGATAAAACAGCTCATTAACCTTTAATTACTCCTTAAGTGAAACAAGAAGCCATAATCACTCCTGGACTTTTATTATCATTTCAAATGTGATATACCTGAGAAACACTCACTGAAGAAAATGTATTTGTTACAGCTTACAACTGTAAATGATATATCTACTTCAGCAAAATCCCATTCATGCAAACAACACAGAATGACAACACAAGAAGTATTGATAAAGGGCAGTGCACCAAACTCATAAGCTGTAGCTACCTAAAGGCTAAAACTTAGATAAACCATCAAAAGGTTTCTAACATATCCCAGACATACCTCAACTTAAAATTGCTAGCAGACTACTAAGATATCATCATACTAATTCATCATCAGAAATACTTTCTCAGAGGTCCATAAAGTTCATATTGGTTATACATAATTAATATCATAACATAGTTGAATTGACAGAGGCGCTCAATTTTCCAGATTGGTCCAGGGAGGAGGGGGGTTGTTTCTCGATTGCGGCTGTAGTTAAACTCCACCATCTTTTTCTACTTAAAACGAAAGACAGCACTTAAAGGAAGTGGTAAGCCATAGCTACAATTGATGTCACTATTATTTGAGAGGAAAAGGGGCAAATGAACAATCATATTCTTTCCCCCAAGACAAATCATGATTAAACTATGGGTAACCATCTGGAGGACATCGATACCATGGAAAGAAATATTGCCTGAAATCTCTGTCTTTTGGGACAGTTAAGCTTAGGGTTAAAAGTAGGGAAGGTTTACATTCAAGGTGGCCACCTATTCATCAAAGATAACCATTTAAAGAGACTGGTAAGTCTTTTTCATCTATTAAGATAACCAGAACCTCCATTTCCTCACTTAGTTCTACATCCTTTCCAATAATGGGTGATAGATAATATAAGAACTTGATTAAAGTTCTAAAATAAGATAAGGCAAATCATAATTATACTATAAGCAAATCCATATTGAGAACATCAATGCTGGGGAAAGAGCTATATCCTCAAAAAGTCAAAATCTCTCTGCTTTCGGGGCATTTAAGCTCAATGGGGTTTCAAGTAGGGAAGCTTGACATTCAAGGTGGCCACCTATTCATCAGATTTAATTCAGAATGCTCTAAGATACTGCTAGAAAAGTATTATTACCTTCTTGTTTTCCTTCCCTTGGAGTTCAATCTCGTTATGCTCCAGTTTTACAAACTCAGGAGCCATAATAGAAATGCTGGCAGTGTCTTTTCCCTTGTTCTGAACCAAAAGTGAGAGGTCTGGAGATTCTGCAAGGGAAAGCAACAGGTTATTACTCCAACTGAAATGGCATGACTTAACGAGAAAAATGAACAATCCATCTGATTACAAGATAGACACTTCCACCTGGAGAATATCCTACTTATGGTACACTATACTGACAGGAACACTTTGAGCCATTCGCTAAAGACATGTATCACGAGCACACATCATACAGATGAAGCAGCACCTATTTTATTTTGGAGGCCCCCAGTTACATGTTTAATATCGGACATGAGCTGATGCAATAATTTCCAGCGCATGATAAATGCTGATGCATGAAAGTCCACTTAACTCTACCTATTTTGACAGTGGATTTCCATGGCCTACCCCAACTTCTTTTGGACTTGATGCAAGGAGAAGGAGTAATAGATGTGAGTAGAATAACTAGTCACTATTCTGACTATTCTTTTACAGATAGGGGAAGAAAGCAGTGCCTGCGGTGACCTTGCCCTTTGAGACAAAGTTGACAAATTGATAAAACTCCAATTAGTTTCCGTTTTCCGTGATAACTCCCGCACATCAAAGAATGTTCTCAAGCTAGATATGAAACTGTAAATTCAAAGAAAGATAATGTTCCATTTCCCTCTCCAAAACTACTAATAGGAATATATCACTGGCACAGTCTATGTGAAGTAACCAACCATGGAAGTTGTCTATCATTACAATCTCTAAATTTAGTACTGAAACTAGACTTCTACAATAACTGATCATACTGACTAACAGGAGCAGAACAAAATCAATTTTTGGGATAGGAAGTAGGGGAAAAATAATATAACTATAGTTATCAGGAGAGAGTGATACTAATTCCTATTTGAAGATTATTGCACAAGAATTGAGTATTAAAGACAAAGATACGCAGGCAGCCTAAAAATAAGAAAGAAATTTCAAAATACACTTGAAGGTGTAAATAAAATATTCAATGCCAATTCAATAAATGAACTTAAAGGCTAGCTCCGGTCCTCCAGCACAGAGCACTTTCTGATTTTGAGTCATGAACATTTTTTAAGAACATTCAAAGTTTACAAGTAACTTCAAATACATATTTAATGACATATAAAAGGATAAATTTGGATCACTTAATCAGCTATAGGAAAATATGGCAAAAGTATTTATTGCCAATTTGCCATAATGTACAGATAAACCACAACTTCTTTGTTGATAAAAATATGAAAGGAAGCAAATATATCTATAAATGGAAAATCTGAAGGACCACACACGTACCATTTCCCGGAACTCTTAGACATGCAACCAATGCCTTTTCCTCTATTGTGCAACTATAAGATGAATCACATTCTTCTCCATGAAAGCTCTCCTTTCTTGCAGGCAATATCTCCTCTCTAGACTGAATTCCATCAGGAAGAACCTTTCCCTTCTCCTCCTGCTTCCCAGAACTACTATTGTTTGCTTTCTCTTGCTGTTCAGCTTCTTTTATATCCTCTTGCCCGTCATCTCTCTCGGAACTACTATCTTTTCCTTTCTTCTCCCCTTCACCTTCTTTCAACCCTCCTCTCTCATCACCCCTTTTCACATTACTATCATCTAACTTGTTCTTCCCCACAACATTCACCAACTCACCAATACTTTCACTACTATTATTCATTTTCCTCCGATCCCCAGCTTCCTTTGACCTCATTCCGCTATTCGAACTATCATTTTCTAATTGAACATCCTTTTTCCTATTCGGAACTATTGGATCTAATTTCTCATTCACACTACTATTACTACTCAAAATCACTCCATCTACACCTGTTTTTTCAGCTCCATTGATCTAACACACAAATAAACAATCAATAAGACACTTAAAATTGATCACATGGGTTTTGCTTAAAACACAAAAATCAATTTTCTTCCTAGCTATTAATTACCTCTAAATCAGCAGTAGCAGCAGCAGCAACAACAACGTAAGCAATGAGTAAAGCTATAATTACTCGACGAGTATAAATTATATGCATCTTTTCATAGAACAATAAGCTCCTTCAAACTACAAAAATCGAAAAAAAAAATTGAGTATACTGGCAAACATGAACAGATTTGTACGTTAAAAAATGAAAAAATTAGCAGAATCGAAAGCGCTTACTTATATGATTGGTGACTAAATTTGTGCATTTGAAATTGGGGAAGCCATAATGATGAGAAAGAGAGAAATCTAGGGTTTTGATTCCACCATTAGCAGATATTTTTATTTTTTTTTATGAAAAGTGACAGAAAATAATGCAACTTGCGAAGAACTTTGAAATTTTGAATAGTCTTGCACTGGACTATTTTGACGTTTTAATAATTTTAACGAAATTTTACCGTTTCGGTCCGCTTGTGTGCATCTCGATTAACTTCATATAATGTTGTGTCACCCCAGTTACAACAAATGAGAAGAAATTATTTAGCGTGTTTTGTCTCAGGTGAATTTTGAATTTGAGAGTTTATGATTCTCGACCCACTATATTAGTTTTGTATCCATTAATATGCATTTAATCAAACATTATACCATTCCATGAAATTTTATGCTTAAATCAACAAGTATAAATTTTAGGAATCGCATAGTTTTAATATGAAATTACAATTTATCCCTATTTATTTTGTAATTATATTAATCCCTGAAAAAGTAAAACAAACTGGATACATAATATATAGGTCGGATATATTAAAAACTAGATCGAATACAGTATAAAATAAATCGGATACATTAAAAACTAGCTCGGATACATTATAAAATAATTTAGAATTAAGAGAGAAATAAGGGATTTTAGAAGTTTTTAGAAATATAAGGGAATATTGGAAATAAGGAAAACATAAAACGTGTGCAATTCAATAATTTTTCCTAAATTAATTACCCTAATACGATCAACAAAATGACACATAAAAAGTTATATCATGTGCAACACAAACAAGTCATCAATATTTTGGAGTTTATTTTTAACTTGAACAATAATCTTAGAATATCCTTAGCTTACTAAAAAGGTCAAATGTTTATAAAATACTACTCGAAGTAATTGGTGTTACTCAATACATTTATAATCGCAGTTCTGAATTCGTATGTTATATTAAAATACACGTAAAACACATTTCACATAGTATATTTTTGAAATCTCGCAAAAATCACCCAAGTAAATAAATTTAGTCAAAATTGCACATATGATGGGGGTGGGTGGGGGTTGTGGATTGGGCCTTGGATTTTGAACTCAATATTTTTGCAGGAAAAATTATAGAAATCCCACATTTAAGTTTACTTATTATTATTATCCCCTATAAGTTTTACAAATCTCCAAAATTCCTTATTTTCGCGCATCAGATTAGTGTATCAGCGCTTATATTATTGTATCTCGCGCATCAGATTAGTGTATCAGCGCTTATATTATTGTATCTCGCGCATCAGATTAATGTATCAACGCCTATATTATTGTATCTCGCGCATCAGATTAATGTATCAGAGCTATATAAGTGTTGATACATGGGCGATATACAATAATATAAGCACTGATACATTAATTTGATGCGCGTGATACAATAATATATGCGCTGATACATTAATATGATGCGCGAAATACAATAATATAAGCGCTGATACACTAATCTGATGCGCGAAAATGATGAATTTCTATAATTATAAACTTTTAAGGGATAAATTATAATTTTGCCTTAAAAGTATGTGATTTCTGTAATTTGCCCATATTTGCACAACCAAAATTCCTTTGGGCCTTGCTTTATGCAAAAGGCCTTTACATGAAAAGCCCAATTATATTGTCTCAATAAGGGATGAGATAAACTTGGGCTTTTTCCTTATTGAAAGACTTTGAGGCCCATTTGGGTAATGACTAAATATTTGCAAATACAAGATTGACAATTGGCTATGTTCGCGTTTATTTATGACATGAAATAACTCGCATATGCAAATGTTAAACTTAGGAAAAATTAAATTACAAGTAAAATCGAAATACTAGCTTTCACTCACATGATTTTTAGCTATTACAATCTTCTTTAATGAAGTGCATGTCCATCATAATGACTTTTCTTCGACTTAACTTCCGTACTCGTTTTAAAGCCTAACTAATTGAGATTTATGTAGGAAGTCTCATTTTAAGGGTACAAAACTAAGTCTTAATTGATTCCAAGACAATTTCTACATACAATTTTAGGTCTATTTTGTCCCTTTTTAATGTCTTCACCATAAATTAGTGCTTCTATAGGTCGATGCAAGATATGATCAAATTATCTATACATTTTTTTCTAATTTTATCCCAAACATTTGCTACTTAAATGTCTGGAGATTATGTGCTACAGGAAAAAATAGAATAAAGATATAAACGCTAATTTTGAAATTAATTTTTCATTTTATCTTACAAGCGCGCGCACACAATTAAAAAAAAAAAACAAGAATATGAAAATCTAACGAGATTGGAATTTTTTACTGTTGACTTTTGGACCATTTCTATACTACAAAAAATAATTTCCCCTTCCAAAACTTTTTTCTATTTATAGAATCCAAAACTTTTTCTTCCAAGAAAAATGATATACTACTCCCATCTACTCTTAATTGTCATAATTTCCTTTTTTAGAGTCAATCGATAATAATTTTAACTAACATTTTAATGCATTTTTTCATCATATTGATATGCAAAAAAATTGGAACTTATAGTACTTCCCGTATACTTTTTAAATATCTATTTTTTCTGTTTAAAATATTAAATTAATATAATCTAATTTAACTTTGAAAATTAGTCATATTAACTTTCGAAAAGCAGAACGTGATAATTAAAAGTGGACAGAGGGAGTATATTGTAGAAACTATTTTTGAGTATAACACAATTATGATTAATCTAAATAAAATAAAAAATTCAGAACAAATTCTAACATCAATTCACCAATTTTGGACTTAATTAATGGCTTAGTGTATAAAGTTGAATTTAGCTTACCCTAGTCATAGGGTTCTTATTTAACAGAATATGGTTAGGCTTTAATACTACTAATTAATAGACAATGACTTCGATTAATTAAGATTATAATGAAGTTGTCAAATTATAACGGGATTGAGCAATATCGTTCATTTAAACATAATTTAAGAAAGAAATACAATTGTTAAAATACCTTTTGTTCTTCACTAAATAATTTTTCATCCAAAATATGAAAATTCTGAAAAAGTTTCTCCAACATTTCCCAAGACGGATCTAGATATACAGATTTACGTGAACTCACTAGCTTTATCATAATTTTTTATATGTATATAAAAAAGTACATAAAATATGTATAAACATCTGATTATGAACCTTGTTATCATTAACTTAAATTATACAAATTTATAAAATTTAAATTTTGAATCTCCATTGATAGATACCTCCCTTCATTAATTTATATCTTAACCTGTCCCATGCATTTATAATAACTAAAAAATCAGTATTAGTTCAAGCAATTAATACTAAGAGAAATGAGTAAGCACTATATAGTTTACTTTAAATAGTATTTATCAATTATTGAATGAGGTTCACTAATAATTTTAATTTGGTAGGCCGAAAAAAGTCTAAAAATTGATAAGAAATCAAACTAAACAAAGTCGGTACCTATCTAAAAAGTCTAGAAAAATTATGAAATATTTTGTCAAACCGACTATCATGGACTTGCTCCAAACTATGTCTTTTTTTAAAATTTGAAATTATTTTAAAATAGACAGCTCATCTTCTACATGAAAAATAGTGACCTTCTTGATTGGACATTTCTAAAAAAAAAAAAAAATCATTCATATTATTGCCATTATATTCCAAATTCTTATGAATTATTCTATCGACGAGCTATTCATTCTGACCTGTCTTTTTACATAGTAAGATACGTTTAGGTTTTTCTTTTCGCCTTTTCAATTAGAACCATCAACATACTTATATAGGGAGACAATTTTTTTTTAAAAAAGTTATATACTAGTACTATAACCTAGCAAGGCCAAACCCTAATTGTGTGAGAAGTTCCTACCCTAATAGTTATTCGTGTTTAGTTATATATCATTCATGTTATAAGTATTACATTAGTAAGAATATAAGTCAAAAAATTTTTTTACCTGAGCTTAAATTATTGATTTAAAACTTTATTTATAGCTAGAATCTTCTTCAAAGACGTGAATACAAATAAAACATCTTTCGAATAAGTTTTCATAATCAGGCAGTCTTCGTAATAGAAGAAACATTTAACAACAATATAGTGTATTACATCGCTCCCCTTTAATTTCTTATTAGAATTAAACTAATTTATTCTATTCACAATTTTTTCGTAAATGATTTATTAAAACGTTATTATTTAACTTATGCATACTGATACTGTAATTCTTTTATACTATCAACATTTGTTATATATATATATATATATATATATATACTTTAATTATTTTATACAGTAATTAGTTAGGATTATCTCATACACATGTTGTTACTAAAGCAAGGTGATTTTTATGGAATTTTCAACTATTCTTTTTTAGAAAAAATTTACAAATATTAAGTTGGTAAAAAAATAGGGAGGGGCAAGGCTAGTTTCCGACTTTCTGTAATTTGCGAAAAGGAAAAAAAGACGTTGTATTTGACTCAAGATGATAAAGAAATAGCTTTATCTATCGATAAACGAACAACGAATTGACGGAGCTCTTCGCTGCATGTCCATTTTGCATTCATACTAAAGAAAACAACCTTTGAGATTTCGATAAGAGGGGACCTTATCTTGACAAAATTCAATGAACTTCTTATGTTTTATTCTTTATATATATATATATATATATATATATATATATATATATATATATATATTCTACTCAAAATGATATTTTAATTTAATATTATGTGGACTTTTCTCAACAATTCCTTACCAAAAAAGGAATTAAATAATGCAAAACCAAAATTAATTTTCTAGGGTATGAGCTGCCTATATTCCAATTGTAACAACTATAGCTATTACACGTTTGCCAAAAATAATTAATAGTAGTAATTAATAAAATTGAATTATTGCTTCAATCATTGAAATTTTTTCCTATAGTTTCGATTTAA